GAGTAGAATATCTGATTATTAATCAAGTCAATAATAATTTCAACTATTATTTAGCGTAAAAACTTTTAAATAGGCAAATTTCGTTAAAATTCCAATTTGGCGGTCGATAAAGCGATTTCAAGAAAAGTTATTAAATTATGTTCATCACTTTGAAGTACGAACCAACTACCATAGTTCCCTCTATAGATAGCCTCATGTCCAGATCGTCAAAGCGGATCGTCACGAGACCAATACAGTCGAAGCATGCTGCGGAAAGTTGGGGTTGTCATCGAACACTTAACACCATTACAGGGGGAAAGTGCCCGCTGTGACCTGGGGCTAAGTGGTAGCGGGAACATGCCTGGAAATCCCGGTTACAGCACCCTTTATTGCGAAGTTGCCCCGAGGCCGAACGCAAATCAAACGCGCCTTGTACACGATGCAAGAAATTACAACAGAGAGGAAGGACTCGAACCGGACTTCGAACAGAGTTTTGTACTTTGGAATTGATAAATTAATCCGTTTAGTGGACGCCGAGGCGATTGCTGGATCTCCATCGATCCCCCCGGGTTTCATGAAGGATCCAAGAAAGATTAAACGAACACGAAACAAATCGAATAACTGATCTGGATTAACTACCAAAATTACCACTCAATCCAAGCAATTTTACATAATTCACAAGTAATTAAGTCGATGTTCAGCATACGCCGAAATGTATTATGCCAGTCGGCCTCAACTAAACAGAGTATTAATATTAATGCCATAAATGGGGGAGTTCAATAACTCCCTATCGTATTTGATGCGCGTCCGCTATGCCACGAGTCGACCAGTTTTAATTAAGTTACAAACGGTATATAAACGCGTGATTGCGAGCTGAAATAACTGAATTAAGGTCGCGACCGCGCGAGTGAATATTTAGCGAACACATAAAAAATTCATTCGCCGAATGGAGCTCCGCGTTGTTTCGGGTACATTTCGACGCTTTGCATATGTATGTTATCGTCCTTAAAGCTCTCCTCGAAGTGTTTTGCGGAAGACGTTCCTAACTAAACGCGGTAGTTGCGTCCAAAGATAGTATGCATAAAATAACAACTGTGAAAGTAGCGTAGTCTCAGTTGAATTTAAATTGAAAAAGGTGACTCTAATAACGGAAAGAAATATAAAATTTCGATTGTATATTCTGGTTTTCCTTGGTCCCAGATGCAGTTTTGTGTGCGCTCTGTTCTACCAAGTTCGGATGCTCTAATATCATTAAATTTCATATGAGATTTTAGTGAACAGGCACTGAAAGTAAAAACCAGTTAAATTTAATTAACACAGCCTGGGACTTGGTTACCGAGGTGCGTAATTAGTTTTTTACGTCGACGTCGGGCAGATTCAATTAAGCTCACCTCCGGCACTTGGGCACGTTAGGCGATTAGAGGTCGACAAAAAATTGATGGTTGTTAGTGAACTGTTGTGGCCTAATTAAGACTGTTGCCGGCGAAAATAGTTTTTGAGCTGATTAAAATCTTCTTTTTTACTTTACAGATGTTTTCTGATTTGTATGGTTCTTTATTTTCTTATTATAACAATTTATTACTTCAAAAAAGATAATTTGGGATACATCTTTTTCATTGAATTGATTCTCAGAGAAGCAATTGATTGACTTTAAAAATTGATACCACGAAAACGTATCAAAAAACGTTTATAAAACGATTATGTATTATTGAGTGAAAGTGATTGCAGTGAAATGAAGACTGAATACCGAAAGATTATATTCCAAAGTTTAAACGCGTCTAAATAAGAGAAATGTGAGATCAGTGATAGCCGAAACTATTGAAAGTGTGATTCCCATTTATCGACTACCAAGTGATATCGGTTCAGATCAGGAACCAAGTTAGAGTCATTCCAAGTTATTACTTTGTAATTTATATTTCAGTGACAACGAACAAAGAAAAGCTCTGTTAGAAAGTCTGCTTTAGATCTTTTAAACACTCTGTTTAAAATAATTTGCTTCATTTATACATTTAATTTTTACTAAATCACTAAAATGTTTATTCCATATTATTTTTGCATTGCATTATAGAGCAATAATGAGTACAACACTGATTTCGCTTATGAGATCTGATAAATCGTGATGTCGAAACGAATCAGAAACTGCAAGATAAGCTTTTTGATGGATATTTTAAGTGATGCTTAATATTGTAATAAATTTATTCAATTCTTCAACATCGAAAAGTATTTTAATATTCTTGAACTATCTGAAACCTCAACGGGAGCAATAAAGCAACACTGTAAAGTTTCATCTCTGATAAGCATGATATATTGGGAGTCATTTCTAGTCAAAGCTTTGCAATCTCAACAGTTAAATATAAAGCGTGGTAAAGAATTACAAGAAACTTTGAATAACTGGTTTTAAAATCAATTGTGTATGTGATACTTAAAATCTTCAAGATATAATTAGTGAAGAAAATGTCAAATGTAGTCCTTCGGCCACAAGCAGTCTTGGCTGTTATCATATACTTAAGCTATAAAGTTTTATTATTAATGAGAGTGATATATAATAGCCGAAGACGCTTGCGGCTAACTTTGAAAGCTTTGAAACCTACTTTGTATCTAATATCTTCAACACGTATTTAATGTAGTTCGCAAATAAAGTGATTCGGTTGCAAGCGATCTTGGCTATAATTTCATACCAACAAGTAATAAGATTAGAAGTAGATTATGTCTCTTTTTTGAGTAGTATCATACGAAGTATTCCAAAACTTAATCAGAGAACTCTACCTCAACCGGCTTCAGCTATTATTACATATGAAAACCTTGAAGATTAATAGTTGATGAACAACAGGGATCAAGTACGCAACATATAAAAATCATATTTTAGAACACAATATTTGAAATAGAAGTTTATTTATTTTCGATAACAAATAAACAATGAGGAACTAAAAAAATCAGTTAAATAGAGCCTCTATTGCTTTGAGTATTTTGCTATATACAGGTATATACAGCTATATACAAGCAACCAGACTTTTACGTGTAGTATTTTAAATGTAATCGCTACACATTTAGATAGGCAACCTAAGATTACATTCGACCACAACGAAAGAAGTCAGTGCTTAGGTATGTATGTAGCTTCACGTGAGGGTGAATTCCTTCACAACACTTCGACCCCTTTGAATTGAATATTTTACAGTTCATTCAGGAGTCAAAAACCAGCCCAAGGTTGTAATGAACGTCAATATAGAACAGAAGGGTATGTTCGTTATATCCGAAATTTGGGGCCATGGTACGCCAAAAATGGATTCCCTTAAGTACGCGAGGTTGGGACTGTCACAAACAATATGACTTACCGTCTCGTCTTCCATTTCACACCCTCTACAGAGTAACTTTGTCAGTAACTGGGTAGTAGATCTCCTCTGGTCAGTTTTCTTTGCAAAGACACCTACTGCAGTCTCATCCCATCTATCGCAAAAAGCTCGATGGCAGGTGGAGTTGATCAGCTTTGATGCTGTATTAAAAGTTAGAGGTACAAACGGTTCACGGGAGACCGGTCACTTCTTAGCCGCCCGTTTCGCCAATTTGTCTCCAATATCTAGGGGTAGCACGTTTAGCATATTCTTCAGCACGATTGTGGGTGTCGATTTCATGGCGGCCGTGATTAAGAGGCAGGCCACTAGTTGCAATTGATGCAGCAATTTAGCCTTATAGGCATGTTTCAGTGCTGAGGACCAAACTATGGCTCCGTGAGCTACCATGGGTCTTATCACAGACGTGTAGAACCACATCGTAACCCTCGAACTTAATCCCCAAGTATTCCCAATTGCCCTTTGACACTAGATGAGTACAATCGTTGCTTTTTTGGTTTTGCATCTAATGTGTGATTTCCAAGTCAGTCCTTTGTCCAAAATAACACCAAGATATTTCACTTCTGGAGCAAAGGTTAATGGACTGTTGCAGAAATGGGGTGGTGTTAAGTGTCTCAGTTTTCCCTGTTTGTCAGTAGTCAGTAGTTAATAGAATACATTAATGGATGAAGTTAATTGGAAAGCAGAATTTGTTTTTGTGGAGAAAAACGTCAAACCAATGTGTCTTCTATGTTAAGTAACACAGGTATCGTCTGCACATGTCAGACAGAAATGCAAAAGGGGCTTTACCTGCTTCGTTTGGATCTACCCGCTCGATCGGAAGAGTTGAGACTCAATGCTAGACACTTCATAAAATCTTTTCGCAAGTTAGTTATGACATCATTGGAGATAACATTTTTTTTTGAATCACGCTTCGGTGTAAGAACATTTTGTTACAGAAATATGGTAAATATAGCGGCCTCATTTGTAACATGCTCCTTTCATATGTCATATGTCCTTTCATATTTCATACGATAGTACCCAAATATATTCCTGAGTTGTAAAATAAATCAAAATAAGGTTGTGTCAATGTTTATGAAAGAAGCAGATGTTACAGCTGTGGCTATAATTATTATATTGCTGTAAGAAAATGGTCTTACACCGCAGGATAGTTCATAAAAAATATTATCTCCCATGACATCATAACTATCTTGCAAAAAGATTTAATTGTGTCCATCACTGAGTCTGGTCCTAGACGAATCATGGGCATTAAACATAAACCACAACTAGCTGTATTTGTTCATTATGTAATAAATAATGTGGATGTGAAAGAAGAACTATTGGAGTTTATTGCACGAAAGAATACGACTCGTGTTATAGACATAAAAAATGCACTTGATGGTGCAACTCGAAAACATTCTGTACCAATTAAAAAGTTAGTTTGCGTCGCAACTGACAGCACTATAGCTATGAGAGGGCTTTAATCGATTTCTAGTAGTTTTAAATACAAACGCAATGCGTCCCAATTGTATCCCTATACATTGTATTATCCATAGACAACAACTAAACATTTTAAATATATGCTCACATTATGGTGGTAATTTTTTCATACAAGAAATAGAGAACGATAAGTTTCCAGATAAAGTATAATTAAATATTGTAATATTAAAGCTATGTATAAACTGTTTTACTTACTTGATGAGTTAATTTTCTTTATGGTAGGACACACTCTCCAGAGGCCTACTCGAAAACTAATGGTGGTTGTTCGATCGGGTTTTGTGAAAGTAATGGGTTCCTTGGTGTAGAGCCAACTGCCGCTAACGAAGACGACGAGTAAGGTGACCAGAGCAACGAGGCCCCACACCACTCCCAAACGGGATAGGCCCCGTGAGCTGCAGCACATTACGAGCCCCTGCAGCCGCGACCGCGCAATTTTAATTCCGATTTCAGTGAACAAGCGGTATAACTGTGCCGGGACACTGAGCCGCCGCAGGAAAAATTATATTTCGTCCTTTTATTTACACTGGATTTTATCTCGGTCATCGTACCAGTGTAAGCTTCGTTTTCGTTTCACGTAACAATCATCTGAAAACAAAAAAAAGAATGAAACGGAATAATAAAATAAGCGAAAAGGAAAACTTATAAACGCCCAACGGGGACGTTTAATTAATCCGACCAGATTAGTTGTCAAAATTAATAACGGCTGGGCTCTTGTACTCAAGGAGAGTCGTGGTAGATTTAGAGAGATGTACGAGACATAAAGCTTCGGTCCATTAATGTTTTCAACGGCGGTTGGACGAGGGTGGAACATACGAATGAGTTCTATTAATCTCCCGGGAGGTAATTGAGGCTATATTACACAGTCCATTAGTCGAATCTGATCTGATACATGCGAACCTGGACCGATAAAGTGGCACACGCGAGCTTTGAAAGTTTCCAAAGAAAGGATCACGACATCGACATTTAAGTAATTCGACCGCCGAACAGGATTTTTTGGCTTTCTCCCCTCAGGAAATGAACAAAAGGATTGAAGAAAGAAATATTGCTTTTACGAACCGGCACCTCCACCATTTCTTAAAACTTATTTTATAACTCAAAAAAATAAAAATTTACATTATCTTGCTGTTTCTTAACGGTTATTCTCCAAGAAACTTGGTTTTGGGGATTTCTTATTTGGAATACGAGCATTCGAGCATAGTGAAGATGACGTTATTTGAAAATGTTTGCATGCTGAGGTGCTAATATCATAAAACTTTATGGTTATATCGTACTTGTGTGTCTCCTTTGATTACTTAAACCTCTCATAGCGGATGCTACTAGCATGAAAGTTGCAATAAAACTGATAACGACTAAAAAACATTATTCAAAGAAATAATATCTAAGTATCAAAAAGTCTATCACTTGAAATCGGTACAACTCGAACGAAATGGATAGGGGGGGATGAAATCGAAGCGCAAAGTTTTACAGGAAGCACGCCAGTGAACTTAATGTGGAAAGTTTTTCAATAAAATTGAAATAAATTAGTCTCCCTTCACCAGCGCGAACATTGTCCGCCGAAAAAGAATGGAATACGGGAACTAAACGCTAAATGTTGGCTCTTTAATGGGCCGTTTCGAATTCTATCGTCGCAGCTTTCGCCGAAGAGCTTCAGAGTTAGAGGTCGAGCCACCCTACGCGACCTTTTCCTTTCAATTACCTGTAAAGGCACTCTGTCGACGAAATATCGTTGCGGAATTTTAACCCCATTCATTTTAGCTTCTCGATTAACTTCGGTGTAGCGAATTATGAATTTTTGGATCAATCTTGCCGGGGAAATTGGCCCCAAATTAACTTTCGAAGGGGTTGCTGAAGGGACAACGACCCAAAATGTTTTTCACTTGTTTCGGCCCATAATTTATCATCGTGAATAATTACTTGATTTTAACAAGCTAATATTGACGAAGAAGCTATTAAAATAAGGGGAGAAATCATTGCGTGGTTTCTAAATAATGTGATTGAGTAAAAAATTCATTTTAAAATATAATTTCGCTCAATCATAGAACATAAGCTTTTAATCGTACAACTTAATTAAAAAACTTTAATTAAAACATAAACTTACTTCATTAAAACGACCTATAGCGACAACCACCTCTAACGATGTGACGCCATAAAAACTCGATCAGGGTTGAACTGTAATCGAAAAATAACCGGAACGCGTATTCAAAAATTTTAAAGAAAAATAAAGATTGGGAAATAATTATACACAACCGAGATTTTATTTTTTTTTTATTGGGTAGTTGAAGAGGGTATGGTCGCGAAACTTACGAGAGCTTTCGTTCGACGCGAAGCTGGTGCTTGTTTACGTAGCGTGGTGCGCGATGCTCGACTGAAAGCTCGGCGGAAGCTCGTCGAGCTTTCCCAAACGCATCGCGGCGGCGCCGTTACCTCTGCCACTCGTTCAATCGTCGCTGCCTTCATCCATCGCCCTTGCACTTTTTGCTGTGAAAAGTCGACGTTTTTGATTGCTAATCCTTGCGGTGACCCTATATCGCCTCGATTATGTGTTCGGTCGCCATACAGATAACCCATAATGGATTCGCGGATGGTATCTGCGCCATAAATCAACTAAGCTACTAATATCTAGGTTTAATTAAATCCGCAGCGTGTGTTACGAGGCCACGGACGCATTAACTGCCAGGAATGAAAGCTCGCAGACTTCTTTCTGTAATTAACGACTACGGCGCGACGATGGTGTTAAAACACAATCCGGCAGTTTCCCCAGTGATTACCACGAATTTATTTCGATGGTGGCCAAGTTACCGAGGTACTTAGTACCAACTATGGTCGTCCCATCCATTTTGTAGGGCGAGCGGGATTAAACTGCAAACATGCACGGAAAGGGTCAATTGGATAGCGCTGATGCACTTAATCTGATATGAGAAAGTTCGGGGCAAGTTCGCTACGGCACACTTGCTCCTTAGGGAGGATTTCATTATCTCTTGTTTCGGAAATTCCTTTAGACAATCTTTCTCTGGGCACTAAGCAAATGGCGACGAAAAGTTTACTTTCAAAGCGCACCTGCTCTCTCTTTAAACATCAACTCGAAAACAAATTGAAAAATAAACAATTTTTTATTTCAAAACATAAACCTTAAGCGTAATTGATTTCTAATCAACCTTGACCAGATCGTTTATCATTTCGTTTTCTTAACAGTTTCCACATCATTAACTTCATACATCAAACTTTTTTTTATTAGTGATTTTTTTTTCCTTTTGGTTTAACGAACAATATTGTACCTGCGTTCAAACATAAAGATAATAGCTCGTAATGAGACGTAATAGGAGCCCGAGAAGTGGAGATCAAGAATGTGCCGGGGGATTGTCCTCATTTGAAGTTCCATTGCACTAGTGGCGTACTCTTGTAATACAGCCCCTAAGCTCGCTCGTCGAGAAGTCTGATTGAAAATTTTCTCGAGATCATAATTGGCAGATCGCCATCGTAGATATATATAGAAAAGCGAGAAGGGGCATTATCTGGATCGTTTTTAGTGAAGAGCATCTGCGGAACGACAACGGGAGATCTAGAATGGAATAAAATAAAACGTGAGCACCCTTAGATGCGCTTTCTTTTCAATAATCCCTTTCTTTTCAACAACTAAAAAGCTATAATTTAATACGATTTTATTAAATTTAAATCTCTCTTAATCTAACATCGCATTATGGAATTTTAAATTTGTTGCTAGCTGTGAGAAAAATAATTTCGTGAGTATTGAATTAAACGCTCCCGCAGTTCCTCTCGCAACAATGACATCGCCATCATCGCGCGGCGGCTTTGTGCGTTCAAAGTTCCGCTTCTGAATTGAAATCGGAGAAAATTTCCATTGTGGTTGAGATTTAAAAATGTACGTAATAACAGAAAATCCGAAAGATAGCGAAATATCAAGTTCTCCGTTAAGTTTCCGCAATACGGCAACTAAATAATAAATACTCAAAACGATAAAGAGAAATAAAAAGATTTTTAATTCTTTTGTTCTTTATATTTTCTGGAAGAATACTTCTTATCGTATAAAGATTACGAACACAATGTGGGTGAAATCGTTCGGTTCTATATCAGAAATTTACGTCAGGGTGCGCACACTGAAAGTAATTGTTTAGAGGAGGAAGATAACTGTACATTGTATACGACATCGCCTGCATAAAAATTCCATAAAGCTCAACGTTTCACGCGGCCCAGAATTTCTATATTATCCGTGCTGAGCCCTTTATGGGACTCCTCGCCGAACAAAATTCCATTGTTTAATATTAACAGCGGGATTATTTCTCTTGGAAAAGCAAGAGGGAAAAAGCAATATGTTCAAAGCCAATTGGCGCCAATAAAACAATCGTCAGAAGTAAACGATATCGTATTGATTAAAATTCTCAACGGTCGTCGGTACTTCGCGTCCCAAAGAGCCTGTTTAATTATCGTTAGTCACGGGAATGAAAAAGAAATTGCTCTCTTTGGGCTCACTATCTGCTCGGAACAAGCTTTTGTCTGGCGAGTCACGACGCAGCTGTGTTGCATTGTTGAGTCCCAAACAAAACGTCTTTTTCGTCCTTTCACGGCGTGGCAGTATTTTATTATTGCCTAGGTTCCTTTAAAATCGCGAAAATTGGAAATTTTCATCTCCTGGATATTCAGACTATAGCCTAAAGGAAAATCCGGTAATAGTATTCAACTCCTTCTATATAAAAGCTTTAATGTATTAGTTCACTTACTTTGCTCAACAGAAGTGGTAAAAAAAGGAACCATCACAATATTTATTAAATGAAAGTCAAATGAAAACAGTTGATCGCGACATATAAAAGAGACCTCCCGAGGACACGCGAGGAGACAAGTCAAGCGGCAAAAATTGCTGTCATCTTTGCTGAAACCTTGTTGAGGGAGTCGAAGAGGAAAATTTACATTTACCCACTTATAGTAATCTAAAACTTAAAAATAAATTATTAAGAATTAAGGATGCGTTTGTGTCAAATCTTAACCCTTTGTGTCCCAAGAAGTCAAACATTTTGAAACTTTGTGACAGAATCAGACAGAATTAAAACGCTATCAAAATACACTCAGTAAAGGCCTTTGGAATAAAATTTTAGCAAAATATGCAATCCCCCTATTTTCGCNATATTCAGACTATAGCCTAAAGGAAAATCCGGTAATAGTATTCAACTCCTTCTATATAAAAGCTTTAATGTATTAGTTCACTTACTTTGCTCAACAGAAGTGGTAAAAAAAGGAACCATCACAATATTTATTAAATGAAAGTCAAATGAAAACAGTTGATCGCGACATATAAAAGAGACCTCCCGAGGACACGCGAGGAGACAAGTCAAGCGGCAAAAATTGCTGTCATTTTTGCTGAAACTTTGTTGAGGGAGTCGAAGAGGAAAATTTACATTTACCCACTTATAGTAATCTAAAACTTAAAAATAAATTATTAAGAATTAAGGATGCGTTTGTGTCAAATCTTAAAATCAATTATTAAAACTATGTATATGACAACTGGTAAATTCACTGTGGAAGATTGACCGATAGCAAATGAGATCTGCGAATATTTCGGAATCTTCTGTATCTAGATGTTGGCGATGGCTATTTCATATCTAAATCTGGTAAGCAAGACTACGTTCCTAAGTCCTTTAGACCAATTAGTCTGTGTTGTCTATGTTGGAGATGAGTAGTTTCCAAGGAGACAAATTAATCGAAATAAACAAGCTTTTAGGCAAAGTAAGTCTACAATGGCAGCTCTCCACTCAGGGATCAATTTTGTCAGTGAGGCTTAGAATTCTAAGGGGTCCGTCTTGGGGTATTCATGGATATAGATAAAGTACAACGTTCCATCGAAGCTATTTTAGACCCCTATTGATAGACTGAAAAAACTCTAAAACATATAGTTTTATCAGAAGCTGTCCACAAGGAGATATAGTATTCCCCTTCTATAGAATTTCGCCCTAAATACCATTATTAGCAACGATTTGACTATATTTTTGAGAACTCGTGCGATAAACAAAATCTTTTCGTTAATACTAGAAAAACGAAAACAGTTTCATTCAGATTTATGTCAGAAAACGTTTAGAAAGTGAGAACGTGAGAACACTCTGTTGTGAATATAAAACGGGGTGAAGAGATGTCCCTAAGGACATCTCAGAAGACGGAATATCCGGAAATCTATTTGATGTTAAAACAAATCGAGAAACGACCATTTCCAGTTATCTACGTTTAATTCCGCAAAGAGCAAAAAGATAACTTTCACCTTCCAAGCGTATGCAGAATCAGCATCTCTGTTGAATCGAATAATACGCAGAAGACTTCATCTCTCAGTGCCACCGATGCCAACTCTAGGGCCATTGATTATAAAACTGTCACGCATCACCGCAATGCGTCAAAAGTGCACGAGCACCTTTATCCTCGCAGTGTATTTTTCAAAAGATGTTATCGCCACCTGTGCCATACCTGGGGGATCACATCTCATAAGATTTAAGGCTTGTCCAAGTGCCCTGGACAAAACCAAGCGAGCAAGCTATCATACAATCCAGCATTAAGCGCTCCCCAAACAACAAACATTCCTCCTACAGTTGCAAAACCAAAACCAACCACACAAACTACAAACCAACACCCGCCCCAGCAAAGTATGCCATCCTTACCGACACCACCAAACCGTCATGCAGAAACGTTGTTCGTAAATGAAAACCAAGAAACCCCAGAACACCAAAACTGCAACACCAGCCCAGCGGCAACCCCAGTTTCAACCCCTGCGTTTACATCGAAAGAAGTACCTACAAGTGGCAGAAAATAGAAACTTGGAAGGCCAGAGAAGCCGGACTGGTGCTGCTAGGCCACATACAGAAATTATTGCAGTGTTTCGTTCACAATAGTTGGAAGACAATTAAAAATACCGGAATATCTGGAAATATCTGGAGAACTTGATACAATTCACCCAACAGCACCAGCTGAACGTTATTCTCATGAATGAAACCCATCTACGCCCGTCTCACCGTTTGAGTACGACCATCTTTAAAAAGACCTTAATTGAGTACCATGTAAATTCATCTTAAGGTTTACAGTTTATGGAAACTACGAGTGTCACGATCATGATAATCACCGAACTGTTGAGACTGATCTCTATCTACTACAGACCAAGACAATAAGAAGATGACAACGATTAACAACGATATTCGTCTAGAGGGACTGAGCATCCTAGTATGAGATCTAAACTGCAAGCAACCCATGTGGAAATCTAAATTGTCATACGCTGCCGTTTTTTCATTTTGCCGGCACGTTTAATCGGGAAGTGGACGGAGTGCAAGAGCAGTTTGGAGCCGATTGGCCCCTACTGAAATT